GAAACGTGTAATGAATGAAGTGTCATGTTTGAGAGTTCGAATCTTGTTAATTTTTTCCTCCAATCCACACAAAATATTTCAGGATCGCAAGATAACAATATGAAAAAAAAAAGAAAAATAATTAAACAAAAACTTATAAAAATTTCATAATTATATATAAAATGTTTTTAGATTTTATGTCAGATTGTAAACTATATTCGAAACGAAAATTATATAAAGTGTTTCTAATAATTCCCGTTTCGATTGTCCTCCTCCATTACCGGATGAAAACCAAACGCACAAACATCAATTTAAGATATAAAAGACGGGACGATAACTAAGAAATAGATATATATTTACCGGGTTAGAGTTGGGGATGGCATTTTGAAGAAAAATAAAGATCTCTACTCTTGTATCCCTGTAGTAGGTAACGACTAAATTTTATCAATTTATGAACGGCCATACAATTTCACATATTGCATAAAACAAAAACAATGAATTAAAGTTTAATTTTGAACAATGCTCGATATAATTAATAATTAATTTTTTTGCAATATAATAGTATTTCTGCGATCTTAATTTCAATGACTTTTTAACGCAACTCCCCGCTCGTCGTTCTCCAGTCGCTAGGAAGCCGCGTGGATAAAAAATAAAGAAAGAAAAAAACGACCTTCCGGGGCGACTCGATCGAGCATCCTCATCTTCCGTTTCCTGCTTCGCCAGCGCAGTTACCTTATCAATTTACTGAAAACGCCTTATCCAAAAGAAAGTTAGTAATATTGAGTCTAATACTGAATAGAGAAAAAAAAACCTGAAAATCAATGACTGATCGAAAGATTAATAGGGTACGCCATTTAATTTTATAAAGTAAAATACCGTATCTAAGACCAAGCAAAGGGATTTCCTAGTGCTCTATATTATATTATTAAACTTAATATATTTGAGCAATAAATGTAAATGCTTTGCACAATGCAAAGTGGTTTACATGAAAATATGATAAATACTTCTCTGTCTTTGTTGATATAATGTGGAAGAACGCTTTGGAAAATTTGACACTCACGGGGCATACTGAGAGCAAAAAGGACAGTAAAACAGTGATTAAACTACCTAACTAACTTGTGTAAATGGATATCAGATCAGGGAGTAGAAAAGACAGTAAAAAACATTGCTTAGAGCTATAAAGGATAGGAAGTTGTGGAGCGCTTTTATAATATCGCTTAGGAGTAGAAGTAGAAGATAAAAACAGCGAAAAACACTAAAAGCAATAACCAGAAAAACAAAAAAAACCCCACTAAAATCAATATATAACAAGAACATTAACGAAACGATATATCGATAATATTATAAAAGGGGTGT